CCTTAACAACCAATTAGCACACCCCACCTCAGCCTAGCCCGTAATACTCCTGTAAAACCCCGGTAGATGTAGCATTGTTATTAAGTACATGTGTTGTTTTCCATGTTTGAATGGCCAAAGTGGCTTTCAAATGGTGAATTAAGAGCTGCCTATTATGACACTATGCATATTGGATGCATGAGCAAGAATAAAAACGAAAATAGAAGGAGAATTTTGAGGCATATAAGCGTAGTCATAGTCTCTATTATTTTTGTTTCGGCGTGTTCAATTACCCTGTATCTGATTGTATCCATTGTTCTATATCGATCTATTATAAACAAAATTTAATTTAAAAATTGGAAATATAAGGAGAAGGGGTAAAAGAACGTGGGCTACTGGAACACAAGCCTCACACACCATCGTGGTTATGTTCGCCAGCCATATACGTTCACACTTCATCGGGATCTTATATATCGAGACCTCCACAGATAACCCATCGATCTTTGATGTAAAAAAAAACATCAACGTAAAAAAAACCCCCATCGATCTTTATACATTGGCGTACTGCCCTAGTCAAACTACAACAAATTCGTCGTGATAGGCGCACGTTCCCTACGGGCCGGCCGGGAATATCTGCAGCGGGTACACGGCAACATGTCATCTCTTCTCTTCCGACTTGGGCGGTCCTTGTGGAATTTGGTCAAGCAAAAAATACTGCACCCAGCCACGAAGCCTCGACGCAATCTTCCCGTCCTTCGCGGCGACTTCAGGAGGCCGGTGCTCAGCTGCCCCAGGTACATCATCTCCACGATCTGCGAATTCGCTCTCTTGATCTGGTTGTTCGGGACGGCCTACTGCTACTTGACCTACGACTTGCCACGCGAGTTCGCCGTCCACTTGGCGCCGATCCTGAGCAACGGCAGCGCGGGGGCTCCGGCCGCGGCGACGTCCGTCCCCCGGGCCTTCGACGTCGTCCTGCACGCCGGCAACCGCCGTGCCACGGAGAGGTGCTACAACCACGGGGAGGGGGCGGTGACGTACGGCGGCTTCACCGTTGCGTCGGGCCGCGCGCCCGACTTCTGCGTGCCGTGGAAGGGGGCGCGCGAGGTGCCGTTCAGGCTGGCGTGGGACTGGGACGACGGCGCTGGCCTGCCCGAGCACCTGCGTGGCCGCATCGCGGCGGCCGAGAAGGTCGGCGCCGTGGAGTTCGAGGTCCAGGTGAGGCTCCTCCGGGGAGGCGACGCCCGCTCCGGCACGGGCACGCCGACGTGGATGTGGTGCAAGGCGAGGATCGGTGGAGCGCCTGGCGCCGTCGCGCCCTGGCCCTGCACCGTGTTCGCTCCGCAGAACTGGTTTTCGCCCTTGGCCTAGCCGCCTCAGTCAATGCAAACAGTATTTTTTTTTCTTTAACTACTCCCCCTTTTCCCATAATATAAGAGCGTTTTGACACATATTATGGGATGGAGGGTGTAGTAGATAAGATTGGAGAAAATTGCTTCTATACCATCGACAACCTCTGCAATGGCTTATTTGCCATCCAACAAAGCTTCAGTGCTTATATACCAAACACAAACAAAATCTATTGCCTATATACCACTAGCAGTTAGTCTAGTGTTAACTCAATCCGTTAAGTGCCCAAAATGACCATCTTGCCCTCAATGGCAAATAAGCAAACAACTGTAGAACATGTCCAGAAAAAAATTTGACAACATTCCTCCTCTATTTTCAGCATTCCAGCAAAATTATAGTGATTATCTAACAATTACAGGATATAAAAAAATCCAGCAACAAAGTAATATACTCAAGAAAATTCACATCATTTAGAAGACATTCATGAAACACCATATTAATTCTCACACAATCAGTACCAAGTTTGCATCGTCCAGAACCAAAATACCACAACCAAAATATGTTGTTCACACAAGCAAGTCTCTAAATAAAATAGCATACACATGAAGAGCTGCGATACAGAAATAATACGCAAGATTTTAGAGCATTTCACAGTTTCAACTTTTTTTTCCTTCGACTGGCCATTGCTTGGTTGCTAGGCGCAGCTCTCTTCTTGCTTCGAGTTCCCATTGCAGGGCTGTCAGGCGCAGCGGATATCACCTTTGATCTACATCAAAAAAGTTGATTACGTACAATGGTACACTCACAGAATATAAGTAAATTTGGTGCAGTTTTCATACCTTCTAGATTTAGAGGTAGTCTTTGATGATGTCGACTTGGCAACATCGCCTTCAATTGCATCACTTGGACATGAAAGTAGAGCTAGTGCAGTTTTATTTTCACTTGGACACAGAAGTAGAGGTAGTGTACCATCATTTTCACTTGTACAAATAGCTTTTGTAATGGGTTTCTTCTTTCTTTTGTCCCTACATGAGTTTCACATATTATAGCTTAATTAAGACAAGAGTAAGGTGGAACAGAAATCTCATATTGAAATAGAAAGTACCTTTTCTGCTTTGCTACTTCTGCATAGGCTTCTAGTGCTTCAGGAGCAGCATCTTTGCAGCTTTGCCATCTATGTCCATAAGCTTTGCAAATTGGACATTGGTGCTGGCCTTTCTTTCCCTTTCCCTTGCTATTTTCAGCACCACTTTTGTGCCTCTGTACCTTTGGCCTCCCAGGGGCCCTCCTAAGGATTGGGGGTTCAAGAAGAATTCTTTGTTCACACTTGGCCATTGAGACATGTCGGTTAGGCCAGGAAGAATAGGAGCATAAGCTGCAGCAAACTTGGCAACGCTGTAACAATCATCAACGAAGTCTTCTATTGTGACCCCCCTAATTCCAGTAATAAAGCTAATTGCATGTTTGCAAGGCTTCCCGGAGACTTGAAATGCCCTGCATGTGCATGTCCTGTTTGCTAGATCAGTGACGTGGCGCTTGCCACCTAGCGCAACACTCTCACTCACTTCTGCAACCATGTCATCTATTCTCTCATATTCAATGTCCAGCCCCCTGCTTATGTCATTCAACTCCTTCATGACACTTGGAAGTATACGCCGACCTTGAAATTTTCTAGCTACCCTTCTCCTCTTCTCAAACTTAACCGTAATCTTTCTCCTTATCTTGTCCATGAGCTGAAACAACATTAAACCTTTGTGCTTGCGGATCCAGTTGTTGAAACACTCAGCCAAATTATTTGTAACATAATCCACTTTTGAGGAGGTTGAATATTTGCTCCTTGACCATAGCCTGGCGTGGTACTTGTTTAAGTATGCTATTGCAGTAGCCTTTTTCTCCTCTATGGCTGCCATGTGATAGTCAAACCCTCGAGGAGTCCATGAATAAGCAGCTGGCCACAAATGATCATCAAAAACTTTACCATGGAATTTTTTCTTGAAGTTCACAACCAAGTGTCGCATGCATTCTCTATGTTCAGCATACCCAAATACCTGTTCGATTGCAGTGTCAATCCCTTTTCCTGCCCTGAATCGAGTAGGTTCACTTTTTTCAACCTTAAATTCGAACTCTTTCTTCACAGCGTATGTAGCAATTGCCAACCTAAGCTCTTCAATGTTGGGGTACTTTGCGCCAACATGCATTGGCGGGTTTTCTTTGTCATAGGCAATTTCTGGAATAGCATCCGGTCTAGCATCTTCCGCAACCCATTCCTCATCATCGCTGCTATCCTCAACATAATCAGTATTTGGTATATCTTTTTCTCCGACCTCATCATCACTATCGGAACCAACACTGCTAATTGAGTATTGGTCCTCCTCATCTACACCAACATGTTCATATTCTTCATGGGGATTGTTAAGATATGTATCTGTTAGGCATACACTAGCTTCATCCATGACATTACTTGGTTGACTAGGTAGTGCTATAGATGGTGTCTGGTTCGAAGGAGTACATGGAACATGAACATTATCACTTCTCTCAGAATAGTTGATGATCAAATGGCCACCCCTATTCTTCTCAAAACAGTCAAACATTTTCATGCATTCTTCATCATTTGACACAGAGATATTTTTGCCACTAATGGAATCAATATACTCAAGAATTATATTATCCTCTGAGCATAAAGCAAAAGAAGAAGTTCCAGCAATACAAGCCAGCAAATCCTTCATACTTGTCCTAGTACCCTCAATAATCTGCCAACTAAAAGTTGAATCTCCATTGATTTTTGATTCACTGCCACAAACCTTGACCTCTATTGTGTAAGTACAAGACTGGATCATCCTGTGGATGATGCAAACCATGTCAATTGTGTATTCTCCTACCAAAAACTGCATAAAAAGAGAGAGAGCCCGAGAAATTACCTAGCACAAATAACAGAGAGAGAGGTTGAGCCGCATTCGTCTGCCATGCCTTCCTCCTCGTCGGGCATGGAAATCTGGGGCGGAGGGGCTGCTGCGAGTGCGCCCACAGATGAGTTGATCTTGGGAAGAGCATCGGCCGTAGGCGCCACTGCCCTACTCTCCACCTCGCCGGAACCCCCAATCCTAGGGTTCTGGGCGACATGGCCCCTGGGAGAGGTTGCCGCTGCTAGCCCGTTTGCGGAGGCCATCGAAGACGCGGTAGACGAGAGGGATAGAGGCGCGGCGGCGGCGGGACCATGCGGCAGGGGCTGGGGAAGCGCCGGCGGCGGTTCCGCCACTAAGCGTCGCCTGGATAGGGTCGAAGATGCGGTGGGCGAGTAGCCTTGAGGCGCAGCGGCGTCGAGATTCTGCGGCAACAGCGGGGGTTGAGGGAGCGGCGGCAGGGGCGATGGTGGCGCCGGCGGCGGTTCCGCCATTGCCGCTGCGCTTGCGTGCGTGGGGATGGGGAGGGTCAGGTGTGCGTGCGTTGAGTCGTGGTCTTGGAGAGTCAGGTGCGGGGGCGAGTTGTCTTTTTTTTTTTAATCTGCAGCGAGGGTAAAATTGGATTTTGCAAGAAAACTGACAAGAAAACAGAGACTTGGTAATGGGAGACTAACGGCGATGGCAAATAGGCAATAGATTTTGTTTGTGTTTGGTATATAAGAACTGAAGCTTTGTTGGATGGCAAATAAGCCATTGCAGAGGTTGTCGATGGTATAGAAGCAATTTTCTCGTAAGATTGATAGTACTCCTACGAGCTTGATTCTAAGCATGACATGATGTTATCAGTGTCCACTTCTCAAATGACCTGCTTAGAATCAGGTTTCCTAATCTACATTGGAGATTTTCTAAAGTGGAAACATAACCTTGTTTTTCTTATGAAAATTTTGGATTGTAGATTAGAACTATAGGACAAAGGCTCTACATGAATGCAAGCACCCATGGTCCTTGCCTCGAAAGAAAAGAACTACTCATCCTTTTAAGAGGAAAGGAATACATGCTAGCCACATGTGCGAGATTATGCATTCGTTTCTCCGCCTATATCCACGATCATGCATTTCTAAAAATTTGCACGTACACAACTGCATGCTTACCAAATATACAGTGCAAGTTTTCCTAGTGTATGATTGATGAATGAGAGATTACCCCACCTATATCTGTATACCGTGTGGTTAATTGAACTGAACCCCCTATCCTTTGGCAATTCGATCACATTGTTTTGTAGCACCAAAACTGCACACGGTTGCTGAAACATACGACGCTGCACCAAGAACGTATCGGGATCGATGTATAAGAAAGTGCATGCAAAGAACTTCAAGGTAGCCTTCCGTGTCCAATAGCAGAAAGTATGTTTCAGTTCTTCAGCTTCAGCGCACGGGCTCAGCAGTGTTTTAACAGACCACCAGATTCACCGACTTTTGCTGACCTTCAGCACACCTGCTTATAGATAGAAAGCGAGATAAGACGGTTTTATCTTAAGTCTAGCATGTAATTTAGAGATGACAAACAAAATTGTCTACAATGAGTCATCTCTTAGTCTTATCTTCAATAACTAGCTATTCCTAAGAACGTGATGAGACATATTATACTAAGAGATCATCTTTTGTCTTTTTCTCTTAAATAAGAGAAGACAAACCTTTTCTTGTGAGTTCTCTCTTTTCCACCTCATCATTTATCCTACATGGCACTCCTAGGATAGCACCATTGTACATTGCCCTTACAACAAATTCATGGCCCTCGTAATACACCTTGGAGAATGTGCTTTTGAATATGGATAATACAGTTTCAACTCTCAAGATGATAGCATATAACATAACCCACACCTTTTTTGGAGATAAACCCACACATTATTC